GGGGGGGGCGGGCGGGCCCCCCCCGCTCCTTGCCACTGGTGAACCCCACCAAACCAGACACCTCTATAGCTGCAGAACAGGGACATACAGGATGGGAGATTGGTTTAACGTCATTACAGGTGTCTTGCTCTCTGCCACTTAAGCCACTTCATCCTCAGCATGCCTACTCCAGCCAGGACACCGTCCTGCCTGGGTCCCACTCTCTGGGGATGAGGGGGTGAAGCAGAAGCTCTTATGGCTCAAATCTAATAGGGAGGTCCAGAAACCGGCTGCCTGTGATGTGGGACTGGCCTCTGAGATGTTTCCAGGCTGTTCTAACGCAGGAGAGCCCAGCCTGGTGTTTTCCCTTGCCAGGATGGGGTGAGATGTGGGGTTTCCTGGCACTGCTACCCTTCAGTGGAGCAGGGGCCCCCAGGATTTGGGCAGGAGATCTACTCACATCACGGCTGGCTGGAAGCAGTGGCTGCCTGCGTGCTCATACATCACCAAAAACGGTTTAGTGCTGTATCGTATGCAGCAGGGACCAGAAAAGTTGACAGAAGCTGGAAAAGAAGTTAAGTTTTCTGATTAAACCAGACCAGGAAAAGCGCCAGTGCAGAGAAGCAGGGTCAGAAGACCAGAAGGTCCCCGCTGGAGGAGGTGCTGCTCCCACCGTGGGCTCCCACCACAGCCATCCTTCCCTCAGGAAGCCAAAGAGTAGCAAGAGCTGCCTCTCCCTTCCTGCAGCAGATGCTCAGAAGGGAGAGCTGCCAAGCATTACTAGACTTTATACAGCTGAAAGAAAGAGGAGAGAGCTCCTCGGAAAGGAGAGCTTGGACTCACGTGGAGAAGAGGAGACCTGGTAGCAGAGGACAGTCACAAAAAGCACAGCAAGGCCAGCTGTGGAGGTCTTCATGCTCCTGTTGGGTGGAGATGAATTGTAGGAGTCAGGCTAGTCTGCTGCTGAGAGCCCCTTGCTGTGCCTGATGTGGGATCCCCGGGTTCAGCCCGCTTTATAGAAGGAGACAGTGAGCGAGGACGGAAACATGCCGGAAACATTGCTACACGACATGACACAATGGAAAAAGTGCTGTGTCAAGGGTGCGATGCAGTCCTGTGGAGGACCGTGCCCGGAGCCCTGATGAGAGTAGTGCCCTGATGTGGCATATTATATAATGACATGATACCATGAAATGATGGAGAACAGGATATGACCTCTCTTTTCCTTTCCCTTGACCAAAGGACTCTGTAGAGAACCTAGAAGTAACAATTCAGAAGATTAGTAGATGGACCTCTTGCCTAGAAGTCACATGATGGCGATGGACGGAGAATGACCATGGCTGCCACGCGCTCATGTTTCCTAGAATATCTGCATCACAGACAAATTGGGGACGATTCGCTTCTCCCACAGCGACCGGAGCAGGGAGAGTCCGTGAGTCAGGCAGTCCTCCCCGGCTGCCCGCCCAGCGGGTCGGCGAGGCACACAGCAGCCGTGCTCTGCCCCGCTTGCAGCACTGCCCCAAGGAGACGGGGGCTTTCTCCATGGGACCCAGAAGGCCATCAGTCTGTAAGCGTGCAGAGCAAGAGTAGAGCGTGGTGCCACCCCAGGTCTGGGCTCCTCTCCTGTTCTTGACCATCACTTGCAGTGAGTCATTAGGAAACTGGTTCTGTCGCTACACTGCAGTTTCACAAATCCTAGTGACAGCTACAATAGCACTATGTTACCCATGGACATGAGAATCGGCCATTAATGTTTACAAAGAGCTTTAGGAGCTCATGACCATGTTGGCACAGCAGAGTTGGCTTAGATTATTATTTGGTTCCAGCAGCGTAGAATCAATATCCTCCTGACGTTGCTTTGTCATTGTCCCATCAGCCACAAACACATACAGAAGAGATTTGCCGGTTTAGCTCATATTGTTTGGGACAGGAATGGTGTCACTGTGCTGGCAGAGAAACTCCTGTTGGAAATGCTACACCCCTGCAGAAGGGCTCCGCTGACTTCCAGGCAAAGGCTTGTGGATGAAGCCTCAGGAGAGTGGAGGAAGGGCAAGGTCTTCATGGTGCTAGTGAACGTGTCCGGGCACTGGACAACCACCGCCACAGCAGGAAAGCCACACGAGCAGGCTGCCTTTCATGATGGTCCAGTGAAGAAAGGGACCTAGCTCTTCTATGGAGCAGGATGATTACAAAAAAAGAAACCACTGCCCAAAACAGTGGCCTTGTAGGAACCCAGAGGAGGAACTAGAAGGGAAATGAGAAGATTCCCTGGACCGGCTGAAGGAGAGCTGATTCCAGGCCTGGGGCTCCCAAGTGTTCCAGGACATGATGCACACCATCATCACATCTCAGTAGACTGAACTCTTTGAAAAACTGAGCCAGACTTGTTAGAAAGTGTGGGCTAGGTGGCATTGCAGGATTTGTTTTACACAGAGCCTTTTGTTTCACTAAAACACTGTGTTACTAAGCGTGAGCAAAACTGAGCCAGGGTGAGACCCCACGTGGGTGCCTCGCCGCCATGGAGGCAGGGAGCCTGTACGAGCCTGGAAAAGTAGGCAGCCAGGGAGGGTCTGCCTGCAGAGCCCTGGGACCCCAGGGCACCTGCCGCCAGTGGGGCTTTTGGAAAGACGCTTCCTTAGCAGGGACAGGCATCTCCCATCACACAGCAAGAAGGCAGCCCCCCTTCAGCCCACAACCTACGGTTCCCCTGCAGCCATCGTAGCTCAGTCCCCAGCTTTGCAGCAGTGAAGACCTTTTGCTTCTCTGCATCTCTCTTTCCTCATAGATGGGATTGCTGCCATTCCAGATCACGCCGAGGGATTAAACTCCCAGATCAAGACTGAATCAACAGCCCGAATCAAGGCTGAGGCTTTACCCGCCTGTGGCAGAGAAGGACTCATGGTACCCCACTCTGAACAGCCAAGGATCTCAGGATTCATCTGGGAGCTTGCCTGCTCTATAATCCCCCTTGTCCTGTGCTCCAGAGCCCATTCAGATGCTAGGACGAAGCCTTGCACTTCCAGAGGCATGAGGTCCCACCACCGATGTCCTGGGCTGGATCCACTCACCCCCACACTGCACAGAGTGGGGCTAGGAAGATGTCAGCCTGCTGCTGGTCCATCCCTTCAGCGGGTCAGGAGTTGCTCATCTTGCCTGCAGCATCTAGCTTAATGTAGCGGGAGCCTCAGGAGAGTGGATGCCAGGAAGGGGCCAGGCAGGCTGCAGCACGCCCAGCACGGACCAGCCTGGAAGAAAGATGTGTGCCGAGCCATGATACCAAATCCACAGCACCTCTGCACTCCCTCTGCCTCCCTGTTCCAGCTCTTCCTGCAATGTGTGTCCATCTGTGCTGCCAGGACATCTGGGCCAGAGACACAGCAACTCCCCTCCATCCCCATGCCCAATGCAGCCATGCTGCACCTCCAGCCTAGCCATAAGCAACTCCCCTCACCCAGCACCCGTGATTCCCCCACCTCCGAGAGCTCTTGGCACCCTTTTTCCCCAGTTGCTGCTTAGGGATGCTGGGGAAGGTGTAGGTGAAGCTGGGCTCCTGGGCAGGGAGCAGGGTGTATGGGCAGGAGCTGCTCGGACCATGCAGGCCACCTTGCACACCCCTGTCCCCACGGAGCTGGCCATGCATGACTGACAAACGTGCTGCCTGAGACAAGAGACGTGACAGCTTGACGTGCCCAAGATAACAGACCAAGACTGACACCCCTGCCTGAGGCAACAGACGGCAGATTGAGGCTGGGGTGCTAGAAACAGGCTCGGAGACGGATCTGATGGAGTGGCAGGCTGGGAAACCACATGGAGAGATGAGATTGAGATCAGATTGAGATGGGATGAGACAAGATGATGATGATGCACTGATGACCTGCTAACCTAGGTGCCACCAAGGTCTACCTCTCTGGTAGCCCTGCTCCTGCCATTTCTACCGGTGCTTTCCGACTGAACATTTGCACACATTCCCTGTTCTGACCAATCTTAACGTTCCTGTTACACATCTCCACACAGAGACTAGAATAAAACTGAGAGGAGGAGAACAGGCTGGGGAATGAGCTGGAGACGTCCTTGGTGATGCAGCTCACACCAACACAGCCCAGCTTGGAGCTGCTTTTAGCTGAATGTTCTGGATGTTCTTGCAACATTCAAATATGGGTTTGATGGAAATGTCAAGATTCATTCTGAAAAATCAGTATTTTCTATCAGGAACATAAATGCGCCTAGACGTTTTCAATGAATTCTCTCCCCTTTCAGATATACTGGGCTGTGTTTCCTGCTTCCATTCATCGCAAAAGGAATTCTTGGAGGTTTTGACACCTCTGTTATTCTCCCTATTCACTGTTTTCCTCAACTCTGTTCCTTCCTTGAAGGAAGATTTCGTATTTCAGTCTTGGCTGCTCCTTCCTGCCAAGACAAATAATGCAAATCTCTAAATATTTTGATTTCTAAAACCTCCTCCATATCATATACCCTAAATAGTAGCTATTTATGGAGTGTGTAAAACCTCTGCCTTATGGTGTGTTTCAGCTTTCGACAGAAACCACACACGGTATCTTTGGATCCATCACTGGAACAGATTTGGGATGCAGGAGGAAGTCTTTTCTTAGCCATGAAGGCAGCCTGCTCCACCACACCGACTCTTAGGTTGGAGTCACGTCTGGGGGATCACATTTTCACAGTGCCCCTGGGAGCTGCCAGATCACTAATGTGGGAAACTCTGGTTTTAACTGGGAGCAAATCGGCTGGAAACAGAAAGAGAATGACTGGGGGAAGCCAGCTATCACAGGGTGGTGCGGCTCCAAGAAAGACAAGAAGGATCTCAGATGAGAAGAGGTATTTTCCAGAGGGATCAAGACTTTCCAGCATGGGAATTGAAGTCTGTAAAATGATGAGTGGCCTAGAAAGAGGGACAGATAGCGATTATTCACTGTCTCTCCCAGAGCAAGAACCATGGACCATCAAATGAAGCTGGCAAGAGCCAGGTTCAAAATGAACAGAAGGAAGCAGCTCTTCATACAAGGAGCTCCTTGCCAAAGGACATGGTGATCGCCAGGAAATTTCCATGTGTCTGAGTCGGGGCTTGGATTTCAAAGCAATAAGCTCAAGAAGATTTGTAAAATGAGAATGGTTGGAGGCTGGGAGTGCACTCGGGAGAGGCAGCACAAATATTTGCATTTCTCTTCAAGGGGTCTGCTGTGCCACATCTGGAGATACTAAGGCTGGGCTAGATGGACCCTTAGTCTACATCCTCTGGGACTGTTCATATTTGATTCCCCAGGATAACTGGTCCTACAGGACTGTAAGGTCGATAGAGTAGCTTATGAAATTGCATTGAAATCCCTGGACTGAAATTTATATCTCAGGATATGCCTCCAGATGAATATTTTTGGTAAATGTCAGCAGAAAGACACCAACAGTTTCTAAGCAAACAGCAAGGCAGAAATATATTGCTGCAGTTTGTGCAATTTTGCAAGACAAATTTGGGGCGCCTAGAAAAGCCTCACTTTTGGACCAAAAGCCTGAAGAGCGAGACCTGGCTAGCTGCTGTGTCAGGATGTGGCCCTCACAGAAATTTGGTAGTACTTCCAAGGACAGACACAGGCTGCCTTTGCCAAATTACAGCCACGCATTTATACCCTTGTTTCCCTGAAGATGCCCTCAGCACCAAGCACCAACCTGCCTGGTGCTGAGCAGGGTTTGCCCAGCAGCTATAGTACTGCGTGACTGTTTCAGCTACGGCAGCTGAGATTCAGAGAAACTAAGAGAAAAACATTTGGGTGTTAGCTTTGAGACACCCAGGACCCGACATTTGTGAGCACTTGGCATTACGTGGTACTTTGTACTTGCAAAGTCTGCCTCCTGTTGTCTTCAGCTGGAGGTACGTCTGCAAGTCAGACCGTGGGATTGCAGGAA